ACTCCTACAAAGAGCCAAACCTCTTCGTAGAGCAGGATCAGCAGTAGAGTTGTCACAACTCTTACAAAGGGCCAAGCCTCTTTGTACAGCACGCTCAGCAGTAGAAGTGACACAACTCTCGGTCCTTCTTCCTGGAAGGTCTGCAACAGCCTCCTGAAGTCTTGTTCTTCCGCTCTATCTTCCTTGAAGGTCTGCGAAGATCTGCCCCCAGGATCGCTGCTCAGGCGTCTTATATAGGTGTAATAGCTTACTGTGATTGGTCTATAAAATGGACCAATCAGGAGCAGGATTGAAAATGGACCAATCAGGGATGGGCACCAGTGTTTTCCCTTGATTGGCAGGTCCTCTAGCACCGCTCTACTGGAGCCTCTGGAGGAGGAAAGCTCCCCCGCTTGCTCCAGCCTGCCGGTTCCTTTGCCGGCTGCTGTCACCAAGACAAGGTGGTAGGTCCCCTCCCAGGCCCTGCTCGGCTGAGCTGGCTGGGGCGCCACTTTTCCAGTATCACTACTGACCTTGAATTTCGGGTAACTGGTAAAGTGAGAGTGGCCAGGTTTAGCCGGGTGGAGCGGGGAAAGATGGCAGAAGTCTATGATCTGCTGCTGTATGCCAAAAGAAACTGTCAGGGGAGCCACTCCCAAACGCCTGGGTCGCTCGAGAGGAATAACCGCCCTATTTCAGGAAAAGTGGGGACAACCTTGGGCTCTTGAAATTTATTCACGTAGTAGTTAGTATTTCTTGCTTATCGGGGATGCAGTAATGCCAACTCTAACCCATTGCTTTCCTTGTAGAACTAGAAACGGCAAAGTAGGCAGTTACGAGAATATGGAAAGTGCCTCAATGAGAGAAACACAGAAACTGTGGGAGGCTTCTCCAACATGGACTTTGAAGCTCTGCTCTGTAGTCTCTACTGAATTTCCTCTGATTCCCCTTCCTCCACCAACAAAACTCGCTCCCATCATCCCCACCCCTAATGTGCACACCAAGATCCCATTCATCAGAATCCCTGTTCTTCAACCTCCACCTTTCTCATCACGATTAATTACTCCTTCCTTTCTTTTCTCATACGGTTTGTATACACATCAGCTTAGCCATTTTTGTAAGTCTCCCCTAGTAAAATAATTGTAAAGTAGTAGATGCTAAACTATTTCATAGCTAAGCTTGACGTTAAAAAGGCTTCAGGAGGGATATATCAAAATCCTGATAACTAAATAATTCCATCTGGAGTTGCATACTCAGTTTTAAATGGATGAGACGTGACACAAGGAGATAGGACAGTCAGCCATATGAGGAGATACCACATGTTGTAGAATCAGCTACTTAGAATCTGTGTTCCCGTCTGAGCACCTTTCCATTATGAAAATCTTATACTATCTGTTGGAAATGATTTCCAAATAGATGTCTTAGAATCATATTAAATACAGAATATCCAAAACAGAGGTCATATCAAACTTTACTAATTTCCCCTTTCATTCAGTTAACCAACAAATATGGAGGCTTCAGAACATATATTAATGATTCATGGTCCTTAACCTAATGGAACAGCAGTCAATTGATTAAAAAAAAAAAAAAAAAAAAAAAGGGGGGGGCAAAAAAAAAAAAAAAAAAAAAAGCTTGGTGCCTGTGGCTCAAGTAGCTAAGGCACCAGCCACACACACCTAAGGTGGCGGGTTCGAATCCAGCCCCAGTCCACCAAAACAATGACGGCTGCAACCGAAAAATAGCCAGGCGCTGTGGCGGGCACCTGTGGTCCAGCTACTTGGGAGGCTGAGGCAGGAGACTCACTTGAGCCCAGGAGTTGGAGGTTGCTGTGAGCTGTGATGCCACAGTCCTCTACCAAGGGGGATAGCTTGAGGCTTTGTCTCGAAAAGAAAAAAAAAAAAAACAGGCTAGCAAAATAATACAAGGTAGTATGTGCTGTATTAGGAGATGTATGTGTTAAGAATTGTGGGAACTCAGACTGTTGTTAAGGAATTTCTTATCAGAGGTTATTAGAATTCTTAATCACTCCAGTCATCATACCCTGCAAACTGACTTCACCATCAATCTACTGTTCATTCCTACTTCCTCAACTCTTTTCCTGTCCTCTCCTTTCTGAATCTTTTTCTTTACTGTCCAATTTAAGCCACATCACCTCTAAGAAGTACTTGCTACCACTCACAGTCTCTACCTCAGAACCATTAGGACATTCAGTTTGTCCATCATACAACTCATTTAGTACTTCATTCAATATTTACTAAGCACTTACAATGTATGTGTCATGCGAAACATGTTTTTTTATTTAAATGCTTTATGTCCGTAAGTGTTTTTTGTCATTTCTTCCCAACTAGTTTGCAAACTCAAATACATTTTTTTAATCCCTCAAGTTATGTCAGAATATAGATTTTTTCAGGAATATGCCATATTGACCAAGTTCTCATTTCCAGGAGAAGAGCCCAAGAATCTATTTCTAACAAAGTTCTCATATGATCATGCAGCAGATACAGTCTTGCACTCAGACTGTCTTGTAAAGTACTGCTGTGCAACTTCCATCCCAATGCTTTGCTTGTGATAAGAGTCTTAAAAAAGTATATCAGTGCATTAGTCAGTAGTCACCTTAGTGAAATGTTTAGTAAAAGAACCTGAAAGATAGCTATTTCCATTTTGCTTTTGTTCTGTAAGCCTTCACCTGTAAATCCTTTATTTTTGTTTTCAGATCCAAAACTGACCATTCCCACAGACTGATAATATCTGACAAACTGATAAATTCAATAACAGGACTCACAGAAGGCTAATAAACAAATCATGGTACAGCTTGGTAGTACAGTAGGACCTTTGTAAGTTGACCACCCAGGCTCGGTGCCTGTGGCTCAAGTGGCTAAGGTGCCAGCCACATACATCTAAGATGGCAGGTTCAAATCCAGCCCAGGCCTGCCAAACAATGACGACTGCAATGAAAAAAAAAATAGCCGGGCGTTGTGGTGGGTGCCTGTGGTCCCAGCTACTTGGGAGGCTGAGGCAGGAGACTCGCTTGAGCCCAGGAATCGAAGGTTGCTGTGAGCTGTGATGCCACAGCACTCTACCCAGGGGGACACCTTGAGGCTCTGTCTCAAAAAAAAAAAAAGTTGACCACCCAAAGAATTGAAACAAACTGGCCAATACAGAGGTCATCAACATCAGGAACTAGACCTACTAAACTGCTACATACATGTGGTGCATGTCCAATTTATGAAAATTAGGTCAACTGAAGGAGGTGATCAGCTATGGAGACTCTACTATATTTCATTTTATTAGTGAGATGAGGCCACAACATAGACTGAGCCATGAAACTAGAAAGAAAGAGAAGGAACAGATAGGATAAGAAGAAACCTACTGAGACTTTGAGGAAAGAGCCAGTCTAGTTACACTGCTTGAAATTAAGCTCTGGCTCTCAAGAAAAGTTGCCCTCTCTAATATATAAGAGATTTATAAGTAATCCTGTTTCCAAATTGAGTATATAACAATCCAAGCGTGTGTTTTCCTCACACTTGTATGAATACAGTGGCCTCTGTGTTTTTATATTGCAGTCCACTCTAGAAATGAAGAACATAATCATCTCCACAGTATTCAGCAGGTCATTCTGCTCAGAAGTTTTCATTGGCTCCCCAGTGCCTAAAAGATAAACTCTAAACTCATGAACTTTTTTTTTTTTTTTTTTTGAGACAGAGCCTCAAGCTGTCCCCCTGGGTAGAATGCCATGGCTTCACTGCTCACAGCAACCTCCAACTCCTGGGCTCAAGCGAGTCTCCTGCCTCAGCCTCCCAAGTAGCTGGGACCACAGCTACAACGCCAGGCTATTTTTTGGTTGTAGCCATTATTGTTATTTGGTGGGCCCGGGCTGGATTTGAACCCGTCACCTTAGGTGTATGTGGCTGGCGCCTTAGCCACTTGAGCCACAGGCGCTGAGTCTAAACTCATGAACTTTACATTTGATACATTTCTACAGTATGGCTCCAACATTACCTCTACAATTTTCATATACAAATCTACTAAACTTTTTGCTTTCCTACTTCTGTTTTTATCCTTAACCAATTGTTCAAACTGTTTCCCCATTTGTAATTTCCCATTTTTTCTCCCTTCCTCTTCCTAGTCAAGTCTTATCTATTCTTTAGAATTTTGTTTTAGAATTTTTGTTTTTTTATTAAGCTTCCCTTGACCATTGCAATCAATTACATTTTTCCCATCTCCTATTTTATAAAGCACTTCTATCATTTTTCTCTTTTGAAATAGATTTTCTTTTTTGAGACAGAGCCTCAAGCTATTCCCCGGGATAGAGTACCGTGGCATGACAGCTCACAGCAACCTCCAACTCCTGGGCTCAAGCCGAGTCTTCTGCCTCTGCCTCCCAAGTAGCTGGGACCACTGGCGCCCGCCACAGTGCCTGGCTATTTTTTTGGTTGCAGGTCATTATTGTTTGGCGGGCCTCGGCTGGATTCGAACCCGCCACCTTAGGTGTATGTGGCTGGTGCCTTAGCCACTTGAGCCACAGGTGCCGAGCCTGAAATAGATTTTCCTTATAAAATGTAATCACATGTAGCTTGTTAATATTTAGTATTACATTTAAGTTTAATATTTCTAATTTAAATTGTTTTATTTTTAAATTTTAAGTTGTGTTGAAATAGAAATCACATAGTAGTTGTATTCCACAGGGCATGAATGAGTGCTCTTACATACAGTAAATGCCTAATAAATTATTACATTTAAGCTTAAAATTTCTAATTTAAATTGTTTTATTTTTAAATTTTAAGTTGTGTTGAAGTAGAAATCACATAGTAGTTGTATTCCACAGGGCAGAATGAGTGCTCTTACATACAATAAATGCCTAATACATTTTTGTGTAATGGGGAATAATGCTTTCTATGATGTGGTCTTTCATCTTCCTAGAGAGTAATAATAATTTTTGATCCTTTAGGAGAGCTCTTGAAGCTAAAGAAGACCCTTCCCAAAGCAGAAGTGAGTTTTCTGATAATATAATCTATCCAGAGATGGCTACAGAATCAAAGAAAGCGGCAGCTCAGAACTTTCCAGAGGACAAAGGACTTGTGATAGTAAAGATAGAAGAGGAAGAGATTATCTCAAGGCAGGGCACTTGTGTACAGAGAATTGATCCCCTCAGGCAGGAACTCTGCCGGCAACTATTTAGGCTGTTCTGCTACCAGGATTCTCCTGGTCCCCGTGAGGCCCTGAGCCAGCTCTGGGATCTCTGTTGTCAGTGGCTGAAGCCAGAAATCCATACCAAGGAGAAGATCTTGGAACTGCTGGTGCTGGAGCAGTTCCTGAGCATCCTTCCAGGGAATCTGCAGGCCTGGGTGTGTAAACATTACCCAAAGAGTGGAGAGGAGGCAGTGACCATACTGGAAAATTTAGAGAGGGGCACTAATGAAGCAGTATTTCAGGTAGGTAGTAGATGGGCTATCTAAGACTTCCATAATGGATGGAGTCCCACAATGGGAGGAGAGGCCCTGAGATTGAGTAATGAAACTTGCAGTGGCTCTGTGTTTAGTGTGGATTTATGTCTCCTTTCCTGTATGTTTTGTACCACTCTACATTTTATAGTTGATTTAGACATGATTCTTCTTTCCTCAGTTTTGTATTCCTACAGGAGGTTCTCTTTGTTTTTAGGAGATGTTTTACTCCAACAAAGATTCTTTCATATGCCCAAATACAGTTGAACCTCCCTAGCTGACCACCTGCCTATATTCATTACCTTGTTAAGTTGATCTAATTTTCATAGGTCAACTGTGAAACATATCAGTGTAGTAGGTCTAGTTCTTTATGTTAACCATCTCCGTATGTTCAATTTTTACTGTCCCTTGGGTGTTATACAGAAGTTCTCCTGTAAACTTTATTTTTCTCAGGTTCCAGTCCACGGACATGGACAAAAAATATTTAGGAAAATGGTGTTACCTTCTGGACCAGCACTTAGTGTCCAATTCCAGCCAGTGGAGACCAAGGCCCATTATGGTTCTTCAGAACCCCACCTCCTACTGCACTGTGGAAAGGGAGAGAATGCTATGTGGTACATGTCACTGAAGAAACATGAGAGTCAATCTGCCTCATCAAACTAGTCTTGGTAACTATAGGTGATCCTTTCCTTTATTATCCAATGAAAAGTAGAGAACATGTTTTCCTGTGAGTCTTTGACTAGTATGAGGGAAAAGATAATTCTGTTCCTTATCCAGAATATTTTCCAAAACATGGGATATTTTTATGAGGTGATCAAATTAAAGCAAATAAAAGTGAAGTAATTGAGAAAATGTCATAGAACAAAGAAGCAAAGAGGAAGAAACATATGGACAAAAATAAAAATAAAATATTTTATAGAGAAATACATATAATGATAGAGAAAGGGACAAATACATGATGATATACTTACAAGTATAATATAATTTGCAGGTACATAGAATATGATGATATTTGCCTTTTATATTGCATTCTTTTCCTTTCTTTCTTTTTTTTTTTTTTTTGAGATAGAGCCTGAAGCTGTTGCCCTGGGTAGAGTGCCATGGCATCACAATATCACAATTCACAGTAACCTTCAACTCCTGGACTCAAGTGATTCTCCTGCCTCTGCCTCCCAAGTAGCTGGGACTACAGGTGCCCACCACAACGCCTGGCTATTTTTTGCTTCCAGCTGCCATTGTTGTTTGGCGGGCCTGGGTTGGATTTGAACCTGCCAGCTCAGGTGTATGTGGCTGGCACCTTAGCCACTTGAGCCACAGGTGCCAAGCCTATCCTATATTGCACCCTTGATCTTATAAAGCTGTTTTATGTTTTAATGGAAAGTTACCCATACTTGCAGAGACAACCTGCATTCATCTCTATTCTAAAACTCATATGTTTAAAAGGTTAACAGATATATTATCACTTTAGGTATGAATGGTCCTAATAATAAACACAAGAATAAGTTACTCTTAATTTTTAATAAATTAGCACATACTGCCCCTTAAGGTTTATTCTGGCAAATCTCCATATAAAATTGTAAATTTCCCTTATCCCAAGACCAGCACTCCCTAACCCCCTTTTCTACCCTAGCATGTTCTAGACAAAGGAAACCCTCTAACAAAGAGGAGCTACTTGACTTCTCCACAGTATAAAGTCATGAGCACAGTATAGTCATGAGCTAGAAAGTAAGATTTGTGAAGACCAGCTCATATATGGGTCCTAGAAACCAGGATTGGGAATTTAGAATTGTTGTAGAAGAGAAGAGATGAAAAGTTTCTCAGTAGGGTGTGAAAGGATGACAGTAATGACAATTAGTCTGCTAAGTGTATTTAGGATAACTAGGAAGAGAAAAGCACAAAGTCAGTAACAGCAAGGCTGCAGTTATGGTCATCTGGACAAGAATTGATGAGGTTCCATACTGGTGATGGTAACAGAAATGTAAAGGTAGGGGTGTATGCAAGGGACATTTAGCAGAAAGTGATGATAGAAACTAGAAGATTAACTATGAAATATGAAGAAAAATGGATAATGGATGAAGGTTTCCTCACACATACCTCAGAGTTCTCTCCTGTGTCCTCATCTGCTTTTCTTTGAGGTGATACTTCATTTTTTCCCTCTAAGCCTAATACCAGAAATGTGTCATAGACCCAAAGTTCCCAAGGTCCTCTTTGATCACACTGTGTAGTTCTTTCTCTTTACATTGTCTTCCCTCCCCAATTCTTGCTGCTGCTGATCCTTCTAATCCTTCCTCTTTTATATATTAATCCTTAGATGTCTGTTTCCTCTCTCTCTAACCACTTCATAGATTGCTTTTTCTAATGTTTCTTTTGTTTCTGTCTTTGTCCTCTCACATGAGAGGCCATATAATGAAAACATCACCAATGTTTTCAGGATATAAAGATAAATTCTCTACTGCTTTTTTCCTGTTTCATGAGGCACATCTTTCTTTGCTAATGTGAAAATTAAAAGCAATTATATAAGGCTTAAATAGTTCAGAGTATGTAATGTTTTTACATTATAAAATGTAAACAAGAACCTTAATATTAGAAGTATGCTAATATAATGTGAAATGTACAGAATCTTCAATTAAGAGGATATTTTTTGTTTTTCTTTTTCTTGAGACAGAGTCTTGTTTTGTTGCCCTGATGAGAGTACAGTGGCATCATCATAGTTTACTGGAACCTCAAACTCCTGGGCTTAAGGGATCCTCCTTCTGCAGTCTCCCCACTAGCTGAGCCTACAGGCATATGCCACCACACCTGGGTAATTTTTCGTAGACATGGGGGTGCGGCTTTTGCTCAGGCTGGTCTCAACTCCTGAATTCTTGACCTCAAGCCATCCTCTCCACTTTGCTTCTCAAAGTGGTAAGATTAAAGGCATGAGCCACCACATCAGGACAGCACTAAGAAACTTTAAAGAAATGTCTTGGTACTTATTTTCTATAACTTTGAACTAAAAATGTCCTAACAGGATCTAAGTAAGATAATATTTGATTTTTTTTTTTTTTTGAGGCAGAGCCTCAAGCTGTCCCCCTGGGTAGAGTGCCATGGCATCATAGCTCACAGCAACCTCCAACTCCTGGTCTCAAGCGAGTCTCCTGCCTCAGCTTCCCAAGTAGCTGGGGCCACAACACCCGGCTATTTTTTGGTTGCAGCCGTCATTGTTGTTTGGCAGGCCTGGGCTGGATTTGAACCCGCCACCTTAGGTGTATGTGGCTGGCGCCTTAGCCACTTGAGCCACAGGCACCGAGCCTGATTTGTTTTTTAACGTAATATTGAACCCATAGTTTTTTACAGGCACAGTGCTAAAACATCCTATTTCAAGATTCTGCAAGTGGTACTATTTTTATCATTTTATAGATGAGAAAACTGTTCTGTAGCAAAGTTAAGTATCTTACTCAAGACCACTTAGAGAGTAGACTAGCGAAATAACTATTAATTAAAAGTGTGAGAAGAGTTACAGGTTGCTGTGACCTGTGACGCCATGGCACTCTACCGAGGGCAACATAGTGAGACTCTGTCTCAAAACAAAAAAAAAAAAATAAAGAGCCTTCTGTTGATCACTGTTAGTCTGAGACGTCTCAAATGACCCACAGAGTACAGCATCAGGCTTGACAGATTACCAGTGTTCTCCTTTGCAAAGAAAAGTAGTGAGTCTTAAGAGGCCAAAGCAATTTCTATTTGTCCCCATATAATAACATCCAGTTTGTCCAAGTTGTCTAGATTTCAGTCTCATTGTTCTGCACATTTGGAAATGTGACACTTCCTTATGCTCTGATTCCTCATTTTTTCAGTATGCCTAAAGGCCCTCAGGGTAACCTGCACAGAAATCTCTAATGGCTCCAACCAGGTACTTGCCACTGAGCTCACATCTGATACATCAGAGAGTTCATACTGGATAGAAAACATGCCAGTGAGGTCAGTGTGGGAAAAGATTTAGCCAATGCTCAGGCCTCATCCATCCATAGTGGAGAGAAACCATATGAATATGATGAGTATGGAAAAGCTTTCAGTTATAGTTTAGCTCTTGTGGGATACTAGCAACTCCACAGTGGAGAGAATTCCTTCTGTTATCGCTCACATCTTCTGAACACTGAAAAACCCATATTAGAAAGAAGCCCTGCAAATGTGATGTATATGGAATAGCTTTCTGGTGGACTTCACACCTCATTTTACATTAGCAAATCCACACTGGTGATATCATGAGTGGTGTAGCATTGTTCATCTACACTTATTCCTGTGAAACACCAGAGTAGCAGGCAGGGTCTGGTAGCTCATGCCTATAATTCTAGCACTCGGGGCAGCTGAGGCAGGTGGATTGCTTGAGCTCACGAGTTTTTTTTTTT